CCCGGCGCTAAAGCGACTTTCCCCGCAGCGCTTTGTGGCCGTTGGGGCCGAGCCGCCGAGCAGGCGCCGCCCCGCTCCAAACTTCGCACCAATGGGCCGGGCCGGCCCGGGCCGCGCCGCCGCTTAACCCTTTGCGCCCCCGCGGAGCGTCCCGCAGCGCCGGCCCCGCGGCGGGCAGGGCGCCCGCGCCCACCGGGCGCTCTTTACCCGCCAGCGCGGCCGCTGCAGCCCTGCCTGTCCCCGCTCCAGCTCTCAGAGCCCCCGGGTGGAAATCGAGCCGAGGAGACTAAACACATGCCAAAAAAATTTAAAAAAAAAAATTTAAAAAAATTAAAAAAATTAAAAACCACTGCCCAAATAGCTGCTTTCATGCCCAGGAACATCGCTCCTACTGATGCTATTATTCATACCGTTTATTAGCCCTCTCCAAGGCCCCAAGGTGACCCGTGCCAGAAGAACCCCTCAAGCCAAGCTACAAAGTAGCTGAACGTGCAATTTATCTGTTTAGCCCCGGTTACGAAATCAGGCCCTCTCTTACTGGCGCTTACTTGTTTTCACTCAGCAGCTCTATCTCAATTCCCCAAACCGGTGTGAAAACATTCAAGACTAAACATACAAGCCCTCCAAGCCAGGAACAAAGTGGCTGGCCGGGCTGTTTTTATGCTTTACATATTTCTATCATCATTTTCAGTATTAAACTTCATTTATCTGAGACATCCCAGATGGACTGCTCTTCTTAACAGGCAATAACTTCAGCCTCATTGACTTCAAAGATGGTGTTGACTGAGTCAAACCTTCAGGACTTCTGCTGCATGGGCACAACTTGCTTTTTCATCCAGGCCATATTCGTGTCACGGACCTGGGCAAAATTGCTCCAATTTACACCAGTATGCAGGACCAACCACAGGTTACCCCTCTCAGGATCATATATAAAACATGTCTTTGTAACCCTTGCCTAGCTGCTTCACTATGAAGAAGGCAAACTCCTTGTTCCCAAGACATAATCATTTAATATCTGGCCTGAAAATCATGTCTATTAACATCACACTCTGTTCTCATGCCAAACTCCACTGCAGTCAAAAGTAGCTTCCATTTTGACTGGAAAATGGGAGAGAAACAAAGTTACGGGGGCCACCAATATGTCCCAGGAAGACTTCCCAAAAGGTAGCCAGACCCCATACAAAAGTTCTTGCTAACTCATCTCAGCTTTCTGGGTTGGGCCCTCAGGATACAGACCAAGGACTAATTCCTGGCTCTTCCATGGCCTTCTTGCCTACAGAGATGGCTCCACTGAGATGAGCTGCCTAGGCATAAATCAGCTCCCATTTGGAGGTTAGGACCCTCTTCTGACCCATGCTGTGTCCACATGCAGGCACCACGCCCATCACCCTCTCAGATCTGACATAGCAGAAAAAAAAATCCAGGAATGGATCCCATCTTTCTACACTCACTTACTACTGAAAAATCACGCACGTCCCTGAGGATTTTGTGGGCTCCCAGTAGCTCCTGAGCTATGATCATCTCTCCTCACAAAACACCCATGAAGCAGCAAAATATGGACATCTCCTGCATCACTCAGGATAGTGGGAAGGCCTCAGAGAAGGAGGTGGCACATAGGACTTTCAAGATCATGCAGGTGCCTAAATGCCTGCAGAGGCCTGCTAGGTCTGTTTAGTCACCCAGAAGCTTTCTGGGAATCTGACTCCAAGTGATGCTGCACCAGGATGATGCAGGGGATCAGGTATGAAATCCACAACTTCTGCACTCCAGGAATATCCAGATAATATATCCAGACAATAACCCCTACCGAGTCCAAAGCATCTGCACAATTATTGATTTTGTTCAGGAATTCAAGAGTCTCTGAAAAATAGTGAGAAACTAGCTGAGGACTTCATCCATCTCACTCACAATATCGCAGTGAAAATATAAATGCAGACTGTTGATACAACAAAATAATTAATATTCTTGAAACAGCTCTTAGTTTATCAGACACAAAATCACATGCTATTTTCCTGACACTTTTACCTAAATAAGGAAACATGCGGCGCTATGTTATTCTGGGCTGGCTGTGATTTGCAGGATGATTGAGGAGTCTGAAACTCAACTGCTCCAGTTCACTCCTGCACTCCACAGTCTAGAGAAAAGTCTGCGGGAAAGGCACTTTCCCCAGCTAACACACAGATACGGATGCTAAGCAATGCAGCACGGCTCTGCAGGGCTTTCAGAACAGATTAACAGGCAATTTGGAACCCAGTTGTCCCTGTTTTCAGGCTGTGGATTTCCAGATTTCGTCTAGCTGTGATGGTCTAGTGAATGTGCATCCCCATAACAACGTTCCTTATAGCTCTGAAACACATATAATTTTTTTTTTTTTTATTTTGCAATCTGCTAAACTCTTTTCACCCAGGAGCTGCTCGCCTCTATCCATGGAGCCAGAACTCCATTTTATCTGCTTTTCTCACCTCTCTCTTGGATGTTTCTCCTCTCTTTCCCTCTCCCATGCTCATGCTAGCATTGCAGATCATTGGGAGATGCCCCCTCTGCAATGTGGTTTCTACTCGGTATCAGCAACATGGAACTTCTTAAGCTGCAGGAGATGCATCCATACAGCAGGCCTAAATAAGGGTTTCCCTGGGAGATTGGGACATCAGCACTCCCATCATGTCCCACTTGGCCATGGGCCTCAGGGACATGCCACAGGAGTGAAGGGTGTGTGGGAAGGGCTTCCTCCATCCACCACTCATCTATGCAGCCTCCTCAGGCTCCTGGTAAGACCAGTGCACAGCACTGGGTCAAGGTACCACTTCATCCAGGCACTGGAAAGACACATAGCAGCAGATCCTGGGGGTCATCCCAAAATGCGCGGCCTTCCACACAGCAGCTCTTGCTGGAGAAGCAGTAGTACAGCCAGTGCCTTGCTCAGCTCCAGGCTCATGTACACAAGAAGGGGTTTTCCCAGAGTCAGTCCTAATCTCTTTGCTTCTATACTGAATCTAAACCAGTGTTTTTCAGAGGAAGTAACTTTTGAGAGCTAAGACACCATCTCCCTTCTCTGTGACTAATTTATATCTAGCTCTAGCTTAGCTGGCACTCAGAGGTATGAGTAGGTCAAGAATGAAATGGTTCTGAAATCTATGGGTTTTCTTTCTTTCTTCTTCTTTTTCACATACACACTCTTATTCCTCCAGATTTTGCTTTATGAGCTGTGTTGCAAAGAAATGCAACAGTCCATCACATGCATAAGATTAGCTTTTATCCATGAAGTATGAGCACCATTGTTAGGGTGGAGGGGAAAAGGGGCCCAAACAGCAGCACAAGCTCATGACCACAAATGTCCTGTCCCAGCATGGATCACGCTTCAGCCTCAACGAGTCTGAAGTCAGTGACTGCGTAGCCTTTGAAACGAGACTCCCAGGTCAAATCCTGCAAACTTGACTCCCTGGAAGCATCCCCAAATGGAAAAGATGGGCTGGTTCATTCACGTGGCTCTTCAGGCTCCTGGCTGGATTGTCCTGCCAACAAACCTCTGATCCTGTGAGATGCTTGGAGGAGGAGTACAAGAGAACGGGCTACCCCCTTCTGAACCATTTCCTTTGCATCTGGGTTTTCAGGGGGTTTGCCGGAGTAGGGATCTGCTTCATCCCTTTAGTATGGATGTTGCTGCAGACTCCAGGTAGGATTACAATGTCTAGGAAAATTTGAACAGAACAGAGTCAAATTCTGAAAGGGAAGGATTGCTCTAGAGCGTTTTGAAGTTGGAGTGAAATAGGAGGTGTCTATCTAGAGCTGTCCTCATGGAAGAGCTTACACCACTCAGGCCCTTCAGAGGCCTTCAAAGGGAATTACTTTGTGACTCTGATGCTAGGAAAAATCCCAGCAAACTCAAACACTACCATGCATGCACAACTCTCCTTCCTTGCAAACAACGCGCAACAAGGACATGCTCAGCAAAGAGCTTAGATCAAGCAATACAGACAGAGGAACACAGGAGGCTTTTGAGCAGACAAGTCCAAAATTCAAAACCTCTACTTTTTCCTTGGCTTGCATCAGTTGATCTAACAAAAGATACTTCCCTTCCCTACAAGCTTTGCTTCCCTTGTGCTCCTTGTGCCACCACCACTGCCAGAGCAAGGGCAAACCACATCTGACAGGCTCAGCACACCACTTCCACGCTCCCAGAAGGTGGGCTCATATATTAGGATGAAGAATATGGTCCAGAAAGCTTACAGCGGATCAGGTTGCTTTTTTTTTTTTTTTTTTCCAGAAGAGCTCTATTTCTTCTACTTTCTTTAAATGGACCTCATCCTTCTTTCCTACATCCCTTGGCACCACCCTACATAACTCGCTTGCCCGACACATTTTTTCCACCTTCGGATGTCCGCAGGCAGTTTCCGTGGTCAGCACTTGGTCAAACTGCAAGCAGTTAAACTTTCCAAGCGTTCTCCGTAAACATAACTTTCCTGGGGCCCCTGATCCTTCATATCACTCAACACTGATTTCTTGGAGCTGGGCTAACACTGATGTACAGAGGATTTGATTTTGCTTTCCTTTTGCATCTGGCTAATACAGGAGTAATCCCACTGGAGCCATTGGAATTGTTGCAAGCGAGAAGGAAAAGAAAAATCCACCA